TATATATATATATGAATAACTGAAAAAATGAATGACTCTAACAGTGACTTGCCCAGGGAGAGCTTTAATTGTCCCCAATATACATGTGATGCTCCTTTCCTATTTATAATGGATCTTGTGACAGACTTGGAAGAATTGGCCTCTTCCAGTTTTGGGGCTGCTTTTCAACAAAAATTTTTATTTTCAGAACTTTTCTTAATTTGTTTTTTGTTGCAAATATTTCCAGCTCTGAGGGAGCAGGTAAAATAATACAGCTCATATCCGGAGGCATAGCCAGAGATCTGTGGTCAAGGGGAAGAGGTCAGAGCCAATTTCCAAAGCTGTGCCCATTTCAGGCTGCAGCTGTCAGCAGTAGGAGCTTCTGCTGCTTTCATTTGAGACGGAGCATTGCCAAGCTCTCCAGAGCACATGGTCTTCAGCGGGTGCAGGCACATCTCAAACTGCTGATGTCCATTCTCCTGATGTTACCTCCAGGCTCAAATGAGGCCTGGGCTGGCAGTCCCAGCAAGAACGCCCATGTAAAGTTACCTCCTTGGCAGAGGGTTTGGGGGATAATGGTGTTCTGGTAAGCTAATACCCCCTGCCACATACTGGCATGTATTATATTTAGGAATGAAGGATGCCAGGATTTCAGCAATGAAGAATGAAACAAGTGAAGAAATGGCTTGATATTTAATTATTGAAATGTATACTAAATTCTGAGGTTAAAAGTCTAAGTGCCTGAACTGAAATCCAGGGACTGATGGACAAATAAACTGGCAGGGCTTCTCTTATGTGGCTTCTTGTGTTTTCTCTTATATTGGAACTTTGGTTTCAGCATCTACAAAATGGAAATGAGAATTGCATCCCTCTCATAGGGATAGTGTGAGGATTAACTAAGAAAATGTAAAGTCTTAGCACATACTTGTAAATGCTCATTGTTTCACTCCTTTAGGTAAGAATAGCATCTTAGCATCTATGATACATATATTGTGCCTGGCACATAAGAAGCACCTGGCATATATTTGCTGAATGAATGAATGGAAGAATGAGTATTGGTGGACATGAACTGTTTTTAGCACATCTACAGATTGTAGAAGAATTAAACATTGGAACCTTTTCTTTCCCTCACCCCCATCTGACTTCTACTGACTCATGGAAAAGTAATTCTGATTACAAGCCACTCTTTAGCTCTGATTACCCCCTCCCTTAACAGAATAATTTTTTAGTAACTGAATCTGCTTGTAGATATAAAGTCTACAGAGTTTCTCACAAACAAGCCTTATCAAGTAAGTACAAATAATTGATCACTCACCGATTTTAATATAGTGGCCAAAATTAGCCTTGGCCTCCCATCATTGGCGACTAATTATGACATATACTTGGCAAGTAGGTGGTCACCCTCCTGACATGAGTTTGGCAGCTGACTGTGGTCCTTGTCCCCAAATCTCCATATCTTTCTCCAGTTTACAGAGCTCCACATCCACAGTGAGACCCAAGTGGCTCAGTAAATACTGGTTGAGTAATTGTATGCAAGGAAGGAAGGGAGGAATAAGGGAAGGAAGGAAAGAAGAAAATGGAAGGAAGGAGAAGGGAGAGGAAGGGAAGGGATATGAAGGAAAGCAAAGAGAAGGGAGGGAAGGAGCATATCAGCTTCTCTGCTTAGGAGAAGGGGAAGAGCACCAGGGAACTGGGAATCTAGGGTGGGGATAGGAAGAGCATAGAAAAGGCAGCTGGACATACGAAGCACACTTTTTAGTACCTCGTACACATCATATTGCCTCAGGCTGACCCAACTATAATCTAAATATGTTTAGATTAATTTTCCAGATCAATTTGCCAGGTGGAGCGAATGCTTTCTAATTTTCTGTTTATATTTGCTGTGTCTGTCTCCTGTAACTCAGACCTCTTGCACTAGGCAGTACTTGTGCTCAACACAATCTTCCCTGTTGCTTCCCCTCTGATTGCTTTGCTTGTAGTTCTCTGCCTCCTTTTCTTCTTTGTTTCAGAGCTTCCAATCTTCACCTCGGCTCTGCCCCAGCTGTCTCAACAGACAATTCATTGGTCATCTAATCAAACGAGAGAGTAGTCCCCACCCCCTCAGTCTCTCTCCTATTTATGGATCTTAGGAGAGCTATTTTTGCCAGCGAAGGTAAAGTTTCTGAAGCTTCCTTTTACCCCTGCTATTGCCCTGTCACTCCATAGCCACTGTTTCAGGCTGCCTTGGGGCAAAGCTCTGAGCCTGCCTCCATTCAACTGTGCCAGGAAGCAGGAGACACAATCCCATCTCTCAATGTGCCAATGTGGCATTTTGAATTTGCAATAGGATGAGTAAATTTATTTTCTCTGAGACTTTAATGAGACCATGTGCTACAAGTATGAAGTGTTATCAGAGTTGCTATTATAGCTGCAGCTTCAATAATGCAGAAGAATCAGCTATGTGCCATGAGAATTTATTTCCCAAGAATATGACAATGATCTCTGTTGTTGGGAAAGGGGGGTTGGTCCATGTTTCCTGCCATGGCAAATAACTAGAAGGTTGGCCTGAATAAACGCCGAAACCGCAGCTGTGTACTATCTCTAAATAAAATCCCTGTCAAACTGGCTTTAATTTCACGGGATCAGCTTCCATATTTTCTTTAACTTCTCTGCCATAGCATATATAGATAGCATTTTTGTTCAGTTTTGTAGTTTGAGCAAATAACTCTCACTTTTCTCTCCAGCATTGAGCAGAAGGGGGAGGCAGGGAAGTATGAAGTGTGTCTGTGAACAGGCTGTCTCATACACACATTCAGTGAGCTGGAAGACACAAGGGAGAAGAACGAATCCTTTTCATGGGAGGTGTGTGTCTTCCAGGTTGCTGGCATCATCTCTGCTGGGATTGTGATGATCGCTATTCTTGCCCTGGGGAAGCTTCTGGAACCCTTGCAGAAGGTATAACCCTGCTTCTCGGCATACCGATTGCGTAATTTCCCTTCACTACTCTGCTACCAGATAAATAAGAGGAGATTTAACAATCATCACATGGAAAACCATTCCCTAAATAACACAGCCTTCTCTGTCTCTCTTGGCAGTCGGTCTTAGCAGCTGTTGTGATTGCCAACCTGAAAGGGATGTTTATGCAGGTGTGTGACATTCCTCGTCTGTGGAGGCAGAATAAGATTGATGCTGTAAGTCACCTACCACCCCTTTTTGTCTGAAATAAGATTTGGTTCTTATATGCTTCCTGCCATATCACTATATTCCCCCTATCCCCTAAGTCTCACTCGCACTTTGGGAACTCCAGAGGAGAAATTAGAATTGTGTGGATAAATCAAAGCCATGAAGTCTTCCATGTGAACTGCACTTTGTGAAGATCCTGTATCTCTGGGAAGGTCAATTTCCGGCAAGAATCCCATATGAGGCTCATTCATACACCTTTGGCCTTCTAAACGCAAAAAGCAAAAAAAAAAAAAAAAATGTTTAAACGCCCTAGTTTAGAAGGACAAACAACATATAAAACAATGTAAAAACAAAATACGCAATGTAAAAACCCATGCTGACTTTAACTCTGACTAACATAACCTTCACAACTATTCTGAGAAACTAAAAATCAGAAGTTAAATCCTTCAGAGTTCCTCTCTAATTTAAACCATAAAAAGAATGAGAAGACTTCCTACATATTGATATGGAAAATTTTCCAAGACAAATCGTTAAGTGAAAAAGAGACCAGAATAGAAATGCTGGGGAAAAGCACAGACACAGGCAGAAATAAAAGTGGATACAAGGAGGGAGGGAAATTGGGAATGGGTGGAGAAGGGGGAGGGTTGTGAGCGAGAGTTTTCCCCTTTTTAATAATTCCCTTCTGAACCATGCAAATATATTAGCTATTCAAAAGGTTAGAAATAAATAAAATGGGACAGTTGGTCTTAATTGAGAAGCCCAGTTTCTACAGCCACTTAAATATAAAATGAATGAAGTCACAATATTTTTAAAAAGCTGTGATTTGGGCAGGCACAGTGGCTCACGCCTGTAATCCCAGCACTTTGGTAGGCAGAAGGGTCACTTGAGCTCAGGAATTTGAGACCCGCCTGAGTAACACAGTGAGACCTTGTCTCTACTACAAATAAAAAATTAAAAGTTAGCCAGGTGTGGTGGTGTGTAGCTGTGGGTAGTCCCAGCTACTTGGGAGGGTGAGGCAGGAGGATCACTTGAGCCCAGAAGATGGAGGCTGCAGTGAGCTATGATGGTGACATTGCACTCTAGCCTGGGCAACAGAGTGTGACCCTGTCTCAAAAGAAAAAAAAAAAAAAACTGTAATTTGTTTGTGGATAATTGATCTTATTTTTATAGGTAGTTATCACATGATGGTACCTGATACATTAATATAATTATTTTCATTTCTATTTTTTCCGTAGGTTATCTGGGTGTTTACGTGTATAGTGTCCATCATTCTGGGGCTGGATCTTGGTTTACTAGCTGGCCTTGTATTTGGACTATTGACTGTGGTCCTGAGAGTTCAGTTGTGAGTAACGTAAAACCCAGATTTCCTATAAACAGAAAAACACACTCTGAGCTTTCTTATACCATTTTGATAAATGTAGTGAAGCCACTTTCTTTCATTATAGTTACTGTATATTGAGTGCTTCTATGCATTAAGCACACAGTGTTTTACAGACATACTTAATCTTCAAAAATAGCCTCTGAATAGGTTTGATTAGTCTCATTCTACAGGTGAGAAAAGAGAAATTCAGAAAGGCTAAGAAGCATCCCTAAGATCACACAGCTAGTAGGTGGCAGAGCTAAGATTTGAACCTATGTGCCTAGTCATGTCCTCCACTGCTGTGCTCTCCATTTAGTTGTGGTAAGAGTGAAAGGTACATAGTTTAGCCGAAGGCTGAGGTGGCTTTGTAGTTACTTCTTTAAATGAGATGAGGAATGCAAGGTGCTGGGCACAGGCTTGGGACAAGACAGCTGCTATATATTATAGTTCATTTTCTTTTTTTAAAGCTAGTAACCAAAAGTTACATAACCCAGAACAGGAGGACTTTAAAATAGCTGATGACAGCCAAAATTCAATCAACCCTGTCGTATAACCAATAAGGCATATAACCAATAAACCGCACGATTATGTGAAGGAAACAATTAGCTCATATGCAGAGTGAAGGCAGCAAAGACATGATTTAAATAATGGAAAACAGCCTGTGAGGGAAGGTGAGGAGCCTGTAGGTGGTTTTTTGGTTGGTTTTGTTCTTATTCTAGAGAGGCATTAGTTAAGTGCTCTCCTGGGCCTAGAGGGGAACAGAGTCTGTCTCTCCCTCCTCAAGGTGTCCATCATCTTTTCAGACTTCTGGCCCCTGCTCTGCCTGTGCTTGGGCCATGAAAGAAGAAGACACCGGAAAAACATCAGGATAGGTGTCTTCAGCTTAGCATCAGCTCACCTCTCCTGTTCCACCAGCCAGTTCTCCTTCCTGCCCTCCTTCCCTACCTTGGCGTATTGATGCCTACCCAAAAGGCTTGTGTTTTCTACCTCAGCACCCTAAATGATTGCCCAAGGGCCCGAGAAGGTTTGCAGGCTCCCAAAGTGCCCAATTTGCCGCTAGGACACGTCTCAGAAACTCTCCTTAGAAGATGCTGTCTCTCATGCTGTATACACCTCAGTATCTATTTTTTCTTGGGTGGATGTGGTTGGAAAAGAAGGGTTTTACAGAGAGAGATTAGCTTATGAACTTTTAAGTTAAAAATCAGCACAACCCTGCAAGCCAAGGAAAAACTGGTGGCACATTTTAGCTGCTAGTTTGGTATCTAGGCTTTTAGCCAACAAAAAGCAGTATCCTCCACAGTATTTAATTTCCAGTAATTATCATGCTGATCCAGAGAGCACAATGCTGAAAGTACACTAAACAGATACTCTTTCTTCAGGAATTGTATTGAGCATGTCTCTAGTCACACATGAAGAATCACGGAATTTATCTGATTGCATCAGGAACAGGAAATCAATAGTCTGGTTGACAGGAAGGACTTATTTCTGGTCTTCCCAGTCTCCTATTTCTATAAAAAATGACTAAGTCACAAAGAAGTGCCAGGCACTGCAAGACCAAGGGGTTAAAGACAGAGACTCTGCTGCCCTTTGCCTCCAGGCCTTTTCTTACTTCTCTTAAGAAGTTTACTTAACAATAAAAATCAGGATAATACTGATGACCTTTCAGGGTTATGGCAGGGCTTAAATAAGATTTCACATGTGTGAAAGCTCTTTGCTTATCCTATAACGTGTTGTGCACGTGCAAGTATGATGCTCATTATTTCTCTCAGCCATCAGAAGAGAGGCACAGTTTCTCCCCTCCCCTGCCGATTCCACACAAACACCAGCTGTTCATTTCAGAGTTAGCTACAGGAAAATGTCATCTGCAATAAAGACAGAGTCCAAAACACCAGAATGATGGGCTCTTTAGTAGCTGTTGTTTTTAACTTTTTATTCCAAAATATGGCTGTTCCAAAAAATCTTGACCTTGATATTTTTTCTTCTAGTCCTTCTTGGAATGGCCTTGGAAGCATTCCTAGCACAGATATCTACAAAAGTACCAAGAATTACAAAAACGTAAGTACCTTTGTGAGACATTTGCTGGACTTGGGTTTACTAGCCTGAAATTTCAGCAGCTCTGTTTTATGTACAAGGTAGCCAAAGGGAGAAATACCTATTGGGAAAGTCTGTTAGTCCACAGGGGGTGCCACAAAAACTTTTGATCCAATGCACCTTCTGACACCCATGTCTTATATGAATTTTATCCATGCTAGCTGAATGTCTTTTTTTTTTTCTTTTTCTTTTTAGATGGAGTCTCTTCACCCAGGCTGTAGTGCAGCAGCATGATCTCAGCTCACTGCACTCTCTGCCTCCTGGGTTCAAGTGATTCTCTTGTCTCAGCCTCCCTAGTGACTGGGATTACAGGCAGGTGCCACCATGCCTGGCTAATTTTTGTATTTTTAGTAGAGACAGGGTTTCACCATGTTGCCCAGGCTGGTCTCAAACTCCTGAACTCAAGTGATTTGCTGGTCTTGGCCTCCCAAAGTGTTGGGATTACAGGCGTGAGCCACCGCGCCTGGCCAGCTGAATGTCATTTTAATATAAAACCATTGTAAGAGGAATTTAAAAATAATAGGCAATTTCTAGACGTTCATCCAAAATTGTATTTATCTGGTATATAATTCTTATCTTCTGTAAGATTTTCTTTATTCAGTTCTAACAAGAGATTATCAAGTTCTCTATGACCAAGACCTTATTATTTGATACTTTGCTTTATCCCTGGAATTAGAAGAAATAATATATGACACAAGAAATGAAAAACAAAGAAATTAAACATCCCATTGATTGACTTGTGTCAGCTGCAAATAAAATTGCTTAGTGATGACTAGAGGAAACAAAGATAAAAAAGCAGAGAAAGTAAATTAAGAAAATACAAATTTAGCAAATAATAATAATAATAATGTGAACCCTGCGAAGTTGTAGTCTAATTTTACCTTAACATTAAAAAAATGTTGGACATTGAACCTGGGATTTCAGTAGCTGCTACTTAATTTATTTCCGTGATCTTTACGTTATGTTGAGCCAAATGCCATTAAGAGTTAAAATGATTTAGAGATGTTTTTGGCTTTGGGGCAGGGAGCTCTAAGCTGAGTTAGGGAATTCTGACTTCTAGGCTCCATCTTGGTGAGACTTTGCCCAAGTCATTCAGCCTCTCAGGACCTCAGTTTTCTCATCTGAAGTTGCTAGACTAAAATTGCTGATTCCTGAAGACCAGAAAGTCTATGATTCTATGATTCATGGGTTATATTTTGGGTGTGGCCATTGTATGTCAGGGTGAGAACAGCAGATGATATCATAGGCCTCAGTTCCACAAATCCCCTTGATTTTGCTTTTTTTTCTTTGCTGCTTTTAAAGAACGTTAGCAAAATCAGGAGAGTCAGTGGTATGAACTTCAGGCAAATCATGGCAGTGTTCTAAGCCTCAGTTTCTTCATCTGGAAATCAAAGGGTTGAATAAATTGCTTTCTAAGGCCCTTTCTAACTTTGACCTTTTATGAGACTGTAGAAGTCCAAAAGTTTTTGTAACCTGCTGCCTCCTAGGTTGCCTCCCTATTCAAGAAAAGTTGAAGAGGCCTTGCACAGTGGCTCACTCCTGTAATCCCAGCAGTTTGGGAGGCTCAGGCGGGCAAATCACTTGAGGTCAGGAGTTTGAGACCAGCCTGGCCAATGTGGTGAAACTCTGTCTCTACTAAAAATGGAAAAATTAGGGGGGCGTGGTGGCAGCACCTGTAATCCCAACTACTCAGGAGGCTGAGGCAGGAGAATCACTTGAACCCAGGAGGTGGAGGTTGCAGTGAGCCGAGATTGTGCCACTGTACATCAGCCTGGGCAACAAAGCGAAACTCCATCTCAAAAACAAACAAACAGGAAAGAAAGAAAGAAAGAAAGAAAGAAAGAAAGAAAGAAAGAAAGAAAGAAAGAAAGAAAGAAAGAAAGAAAGAGAGAGAGAGAGAGAGAGAGAGAAAGGAAGGAAGGAAGGAAGGAAGGAAGGAAGGAAGGAAGGAAGGAAGGAAGGAAGGAAGGAAGGAAGAAAGAAAAGTTGAGTGCTGCTACCCAGCTCCTCAGAGCAACTGTGACCTGGCTCCTTGCTAAATAGCCAGAAATGTAATTAAATACTTGAGGCTTGAAATTATTTAACCCCAGACAATTTCTTTTAATGCCAGATTGAAGAACCTCAAGGAGTGAAGATTCTTAGATTTTCCAGTCCTATTTTCTATGGCAATGTTGATGGTTTTAAAAAATGTATCAAGTCCACAGTAAGTATTTTATCACTAGAAATTTGTTTTCTAACCTCTTTTGAGACTTCATTCATTCTACAAGTATTTATAGGGCTCCAACCAGGAATAGGCCCTAGACCCTCTTGCCTTTGTGTAGGGCAATAAGAATTAAAATATAACATCCTTGCCTTCAAATAATGTAGAGTCTATTTGGGGATTAAAAAATACATATGTTAAAATCCAGGTAGTAATAACTATGCCAGACAAAAACATTAGAGATGTTTCTAGGCAGAATTTGAGTAAGTTCCAAATAAGTAGTATAGACAGTTGAGAGTTCATGGAAGGAAGAGATCCAGGTTAGTTGGACTAACAGGCTTTGTGCAGCAGTTGGCGGAAGGAAAGAAATCATGTCAATTGTTTGAGAACTATGTGAGCTGAGAGACAGTGGAAACAGATATCGGAGGTAGGGTTGCCCAGTTGCAGCAAAAAGTAAAAAATACTATTGGAATAAATAAGTAGAAAATTCTGGTACTGAATGCCATGCTAGGCTTTGAACTTGGAGTTTACCTCTAAATCAGTGTTTTTCTAAGTGAGTTCCAGGGCAAACTGATTCAGAGGAATGTTCACAGATTTTGCAATAACAAAAGGGCTCTGTGATACCAAGGGAATTTGGAAAACCCAGACTTAAAGCTAAAGAGGGTATTTGGTGTTTTTTTTTTTTTTTTTCCTGTTTTGTCTTTTACTGTCTTGGTGCCTTTAATATACTACTGTCTTCCCTGAGCTTCTGGGTAGGAGTAGGGTAGCCTGGGAGTAGACAGAGATCTACTCCACCAGACCTTACAATTTCTGTTTTGGCAGGATATCTCAAGGAATTATACCCTTTGAGAAATAGCCTTTCCAGATAACAGATAACAGTGGCCATTAACAAGCTTTAGGTGCCAGGCATTTTAAGTAACTTGACATTTATTTCCAAAGGTTGGATTTGATGCCATTAGAGTATATAATAAGAGGCTGAAAGCACTGAGGAAAATACAGAAACTCATAAAAAATGGACAATTAAGAGCAACAAAGGTGAGACAACATCTTTCTTTTCCCCCTTAAATTCTTTCCTTTCCCTGATGAGAGCAGTTAGATGGTCTAAAATTAAATCTATCCCCTTTAGTATCCAGATGTGAACGAACAAATGACATGTACGTGTCAAAGAACAACTGAGCTATTCTTATAGGCAAGAGGGAGTGGAAGGGAATGAAATAAAATCAGCAGCGCTGCCTGGAAACACAGGATGCGATTTTTTTCCCCCACCATGAAGAACGTCTGCATTATTTTTTATACTTTATTTTTACTGAAAGGAACAAAATAAGTGCAAATTCAATGCCAGAAAACTACCCACCAGAGAAGGCAGTAAGTCCATAGACTTTTGGAGCTATTAACTTTTACTCAGACTCTCTGGCCAGTGTATTTCTTGGCAAAGTTCCACAATCTTCCAGAAAACAAGTTTCTTGGCTCCTCTGTTCTCCCAGTTTTCTTCCTAGACAACATCAAAGTTTGGGCTGAGGTGAAACTCATCCTTAAGAATTCATCTCCTTGATGTTTTGCTTACCAAGGAACAGTGTGTAGGAGTTTTGGATAATTTGATATGAATGGTTGAAAGACATTTCAAATCTTTCACAATTAAGTTGACAGTGTTTTCTTTGTTTAGAATGGCATCATAAGTGATGCTGGTTCAACAAATAATGCTTTTGAGCCTGATGAAGATATTGAAGATCCGGAGGAACTTGATACCCCAACCAAAGAAATAGAGATTCAAGTGGATTGGAACTCTGAGCTTCCAGTCAAAGTGAACGTTCCCAAAGTGCCCATCCATAGCCTCGTGCTTGACTGTGGAGCTATATCTTTCCTGGACGTTGTTGGAGTGAGGTCACTGAGGGTGGTAAGGTTCTGGTTTCCCGAATTATACATTCGGAGCTTTGGCAATAGTAAAATGATGTGGGTTGTCCAGTATTGCAACAGGGCAAATACATGGGCTTTGTAGTTTTTCTAGGTGAATGCTTTTGTAAAAAAGTGTAATATTTTAAAGCATAGCCTCTGGAACCAGACTACCTGGGGTAGATACTGGCTTCACCACTTACTAGCAGTACGACCCTGGGCAAGTTGCTTAATCTGTCTATATCTCAGTTTCTTCATCTGTAATATGGAGGTAATGATGGTATCTACCTTCATAAGTTGTTACAAGGATTAAATACGCTAATAGATATAAGGTGTTTAGAAGAGTATCTGATTCAGGCCGGGCATGGTGGCTCACGCCTGTAACCTAGCACTTCGGGAGGCTGAGGCAGGTTGATCATGAGGTCAGGAGTTTGAGACCAGCCTGGCCAATATGGTGAAACCCCGTCTCTACCAAAAATACAAAGTCCCAGCTGCTAGGAGGCTGTGGCAGGAGAATCGCTTGAACCCGGGAGGCAGAGGTTGCAACTAAGATTGTGCCACTGCACTCTAGCCTAGGCGACAGTGAGACTCGTTTCAAAAAAAAAAAAAAATATATATATATATATATGTATATATCTGATTCAAAGATACTCCCCAGCAAATTAATTCACATTTATTATGTTTTATCTTTCTGAGAATGTACAGCACATGGAATATGAAAAGAAGAAAAAATGGCAAAAGTTTGTTAAGTATTACATTTCTATTTGTTATGTTAACAGCAACAGGATAAGGAATACCAGGTGTATGGTAGGACTGGAAAAACCAGGCATTATTAAGAGGTTAGAGTAGGAAGCAAGCAGGTCAGGCATCTAGAAAGTCAAAGCAAGAGTTGAGAAGTATGCAGGATAGAAACAATAATGATATCAGAAACCAGTTATGCAAGCTGAAGATCATTAATTCTTTCAACAAATAGATGTGAAATGCCTAATGTGTGCTAAGCACTCTGCCAGGCACAAGAGACTAGTGATGAAGTAGACACAGTTTCTACCTACGTGGGACTTAGCAGTCTGGAGGAGAAGGCAAACATTAAGTCATCTTCTAAATAACAACTGTAGTAAGTGCTCCAAGGAAGATGAATAGAACATCACCTGAAGCATCAAGTTTAGGTGAAGCTTCAGGTAGGTATCAAGAGGGTCAGGCAGAAAAGTAAGCAGGTCAAGACACCAACGATCAGATGTAATAATATGAAGCTGACTCCTAACTGAGGTTCAGCTTAGCTAGGGCTTCTTTGCTACCTCTGTAAGGGGAGGAAATGATTCCAGGATGTGTGTACTAGGTAGGTAAGGTAGAGAAGTGATTGTGCTTGGCAAAAGAGTATGAGAATATGCTGACAGATTCTGTTCTAGTTCTCTTAGCAGATTTTGTTATTAGCTCATTTGAAAACACTCTTGTTCTTTGTTGTACATTTCACTCTAAGCATTGGCTGAGATCCATTGTAGATTGTATTGGCCAGAGAGTTTAATGAATTACTTTTGGGGAGAGTCTTAACATATTTAATGCCAGAATATTTCCCACACAACAAATATTTACTTTCAAATATTATGATAGCTAAAGAAGACTCCAAACTTTATACTTGAACAGAGGTCTTAATTTGTGTTCCTCCATAATTCTCAAATTCTCTTTTATTATTGACCAAGGGTCTTCTGTCTTGACTTTTTAAAATTAAATGTTTATTTTAACATAATTGTAAATTCACATGTAGTTTTAAGGAATAATATTTAGATCCTATGTACCCCTTACCCAGTTTCTCCCAATGAGTAACACCTTGTAAAGCTGTAGCATGAAATCACAGTCAGGTCACTGACATTCAAAGTAGAGGCCTTGACTTTTAGGTCAATTGTAACATTTTGAACCCGATGAGCATAGCCACACCCATATCTCTTCTCCAATCAGCAGGGCCTATATTAAGAAGCCTCCTGTACTCTCTTCTTTCCACAAATATTTATTTAGCACCTCCATGCTATCGGGTGCTGTGCTATTGAGCGCTGGATGTTGCCATCTCTTGAGATCTAATCCTAATTATACCATTACTGTAGGTTGAAAACCTCCATGGTTTTGCAATAATAACCTTTCCTTAAAGTCCTGATTAACCATGGAAGTAATGATGTTTCTCCTGAGCAAGTAACTGAATGCTACTGAATTATGGGCAGATAAGGTTATTAATTGTTACAAACTCTCCTTTTTTATTTTTAGATTGTCAAAGAATTCCAAAGAATTGATGTGAATGTGTATTTTGCATCACTTCAAGGTAAATACATATATCTACATATCTACCTGTAAGACTTTCCCCTAAGCCCTTTCTCCTACCTGGGACCGTGGGCACATTATGTCTAAAGGCCTTTTTTTTTTTTTCTTTTAAAGATCTCAATTGCATTTATTTGCAATTCTAGAATCTGGCAATGCTTCATTCCATAAAACAGAATAAGTGTTCCAAGGAACTAAGCGGAAGAGGTCGGTTTCATAGACAGAAAAGGCCAAAGACAGCAAAAGCAAACGACAAAGAGTATATTAGTCCATTCAAAGTTACTTTTCTTGCAAGTCAGAGACAGTGAGACAGAACAATAGGAAAATAATGGATTAGTTAACATGAGGTCATGGCAGGATACTTTTTTGTATGAGGTTTATTGCAGAGAAAGCTTTATTATGCCAACTGGAAATTTAAACTGGCTGTTTTGGGAAATTTGCTCTTACCCCTCTCTCCTGATTTCTTCAAAGGTCAGATAACAATTTAGTTTAGGTTGGATAACTTGAAACTTTAGCATGAGTGACTCCATTTTGATTTTTAGTCTTGTCTGTTGGGGCCTAGTGCAGGAGCTTAGTCTAAAACAATGGCCTTTTATTTTTATTTTTTATTTTACTATGTGCCTGTGTCTTGCATGACCACAGGATGGGCACAGCTGCTTGAGCCACCGAAGGCTGCTCTACTCCTTCATTCTGGCTACTAGAAGCTGCAAAGCTCTGGGAGGGCAAAACTCAAGGGGACTAAGACAACGGCCTTCACCATTTTTATTTGATGATTTCCCCCCGTTTGATCAGGTTCTCACCTAGGTAAGAGTGAACAAAATGCAGGAGATCAGTGCTACCCTGTTACCATTATTTTGGGTTTCTGGTCTCAGGAGGTCATGTATAGCTTATGGTGCCCTCCTCATTATCATGCATTTCTCTGAGTTTTTGTTGTTTCAGAGGGAAACCATTTGATGTCTGACAGGTGGCTATATGGAAACATTTAAAACTTTGAGAGGGTATAACGTACCTGCTATTATGACTATTGGGATGATAACACCAAGGGTTTATAGTATGCTCCTTAGCCAGGGTTCCCATGAACCAAACCAACTAAAATTGAATAGCCTGACAAGGAGTCTACCTGTTTTAACCAAGTTACCTGATGTATTTATATATGTGCAACAAGAAGTGTCACCAACTGCACAGATGCTTCCTTGTTGAGTTAGCAGGTAATCTAGCATTCCATGACTGGTTTAAATTAAAGCAGAAAGTGTAAGTTACCCAAAGAAGCTACTGATTGTGAAATTTTAACTACAGCACTATCCTGCCAAGTGAAAGAGGTAGGCAAAAGTAAGGGAAAATTAAAAGGGATAAGAATCTTATGATAGGGAGTCTTGTTCTGACAGTCTTGGAGCTGTCTACAGCATGAAGTTGGCGACTTCTCGTTTTGGTTTGTAGTTTTATTGTCTCTAGTTGTGGCATCCAGCATTCTGGTGAACTCTCTCTGTGGCCCACAGTTTAAGCATGACAGTCACCTCTTGAAATGTATGCTGAGTTGTTCAGCTTCAACTTACAGAGCTTCAGGAATTGAGTACTTCTTGGTCTTCATTGGAGTGTTATAGCCAGATATTAGTGAAAGCTAAAAGAATTAAGAATCCAGTTCAGTCTACAGGTAGACAATAAACACTCATAAACATTGAACAGGGCTACAGTCTAAGAACAGTTTTACTATGCTTTTCTTTTGAACCATATGTTTTTCTTTCTATAGTCACCTCCATTTCTATCAAAGACAATCATGGTAGACCAATTTGTTTACAAAATAAGTTTAGTCTCAAACTTGGTCTGATTGATTATTTACACAGTGCAGCAAGAATAACTACATAGGTGACTCATTTTAAATTTACTTTGCCAAGCCAGGTGAGGTGTTGCATGCCTGCAATCCCAGCTATTTGAGAGTCTGAGGTGAGAGGATTGCCTGAGCCCAGGAATTCAAGGCTTCAGTGCACTATGATTGTGCCTGTGAATAGCCACTGCACCATAGCCTGGGCAACACAGTGAGACCACGTCTCCAAAAAATAATTGCTTTGCCGGAAATTTTGACAAGGAATCTCAGATTGGACTTTTTAAAACTTCTTGATGCTATGAAGTTAAACCAAGGCAGACATTAGACTTTGCCTGATGTATCTAATATCTTGAAGTTACTGGGCCTCCCAGGAAGGAACAACTTTTTATTCACTCACTGTAAGGCTAGGAGCCCTTGAAGCCAGGAATTCTGTGCACATTTTCAAATATGATATTCTAGTCAAAGCCTTGATAATATAACCAATGTTTTCCAATTGTATTCTATTTAAAAGAACAGATTCTTATTGAACTTTTATGTAAATAATCATATTGCCAGAAAAATAAGAATACTCACAAAGAGTTTCCAAATTCTGGAAGGATCAGGTAGAGAGGAAAAGCAAATGTTTCAATTTTTGTTTATGAAAGTATGCTTAACCAGGCTGGGTGCTGTGGCTCACATCTGTAATCCCAGCACTTTGGGAGGAAAAGGTGGGTGATTGCCTTGAGCTCAGAGTTCGAGACCAGCCTGGCAACATGGCAAAACCCCGTTACTACAAAAAATACAAAAAATTAGCTGGGCATGGAGGCTGAGGCTGAGAATCACTTGAGCTGGGGAAGCGGAGGTTGCAGTGAGCCCAGATGATGTCACTGCACTCCAACCTGGGTGACAGAGTGAGACCCTGTCTCAAAAAAAAAAAAAAGTATGCTTAACCAAGTGGCTTTAAACTACAGATAGCTTTAAAGAAAAATTTTCTTTAAATCTTGAAAACAAATATTTTAAAAAACAGCAATGTTTCAAATAAAAAAAGCCATAAAACCCATAATTCTTCTTCATCAGTTCATTCAGTCTCATGTAATTAATTCTTGCTCTGTTTGATCTTGGCTGGCAGTTTAATTCCATCGAATGGTATGAATTCAAAGTTATTAGAAACTTGTATTTGTCAGAGTCCTTTTCATTCTTCCCATATGACTCTTTGAAGTCACAGCATTTTAGAATTACAATGGCTTACAAAGAGCTTTCAGAAAAAGTATCAGAACAAAACAATTAACTGTGGACAACAAGACTTAAAGTGGCTATATTTAAAGATCTGAGTTACCCAGTGAGTTACCCAGTTGACAAGGATATTTGGTTATTTCTGTGGCACACAACAATTTAAAATAACCAAAATTATGACTGGTAGCATTTATACCAAGACATATCACATTTCTAAGAATGTTATATAATTTTGGAACATATTAATACCATATCTATATAAATATAGCTCAAAGAAGGTTAAACATCATTTCTTATTTTAACAGTGCTTCTCATATAACTTAACATAAGGCCACTTGGTTTAACATCTCTCCTTTACAGATTCTTTAAGAAATTCCAGGGTCCTCTGGAACATCCCAAAGTTAGTTCAAGGTCAAAAAAACTTAATTTTGATTTTTGAGAAGTTTGTCAAACACCGAAGGTTTAAAACATTTGATCAAAATAGGAACATAGGTCACTATGAAATAAAACCAAAGTGACAAAAGAGTTCAAAGGCACAAAGCACAAGAAGAGTTATCCTGATGAAACATGAAATCCCTGTTTTCTAGGCCAGTTACCTAGAAGATAAAGAAAATCCTCTCACAATTTTCTATTAAGAGCAAACCAATCCTCTGAGAAAACTCTATTGTTCCAACACGTGGGCCGAAACTTTAGCCTTCCATCAGTGTACTTTAATATTAATGCTCAATTTTTATTGAGCTTATAAAACTTATAAATGATTCCCTTCTAATTTTAGCCAACTCAATCACATAAAATTTTTCATGATATTTATCTTCTACAAACCTTCTACAACTTGCTTAAACCTTCATTTTGTCCTATACTTCCTTTTTTAAAATTGGCATTGTACCTTAGGACAAAGATTTACTTTTCTTTTCTCCTTATCATTTTGACCATATAAGGTTCTCTCCTATACAAAAGAAAAAATTATTCTCTTTTCAATTTTCTTTGTATCTTCATACTTGTAATTTTTTTCCCACATCTTTCCTATCTACTGGTTCCTTTCTGCCTTGTTTTGATTTCCTTCCTAAGTCCATATTTAGAAACAACCTTTAAATAACCTCCGATTGCCAAGCTAGAGTTAAGATTTAAATAAATAAATAGGCCGGGCATGGCGGCTCACGTCTGTAATCCCAGCACTTTGGGAGGCAAAGGTCAGAGGATCACTTCAGGCCAGGAGTTTGAGACCAGCCTGAGCAACATGGTAAGACCCCATCTTTATTATTATTTAAAAAACAAAAACAAAAATAAAACAAAAAGCATAAAAACTCTGAGAACATTTTTAAACCCAGAAAGACACTACTTCCAATTTGTGCCATAGAGCTGGTAATGTATGGAAATGTGTGTCTTGACAGTGGGTGGGGGTGGGGTGGATATTGACAATGGGGGGATATTGTTATGAGGAGAGCAAAGCTGGGGATTACTTAGATTCCTTGCAACAGGAGGACTCTCAAGGGTGTGAGTCTCTGTGTCTGTCTCTTTATGAATGTATGTGTGTAGGAAAGTGCTAACGCTTAGGTTGAATTCTCCAGCAGCAGAGCCCAAGATGGGGATTCTTGCACAAGTGATTTATTGAGAGCACACCTGAGGAAATTTATGAAGCAGTGAGGGAAGCAGGATAGGGAAGGGGAGGAAGCTGGTGAAAGACATGGTTTCTGAAGTCCAGCATAGATTCCTGATTTCACAGGGAGCACCACCACAGGAAGAGTACCAGAAGGTTATGCCTCCTTGAGACAAGGGGACCTGCTTTCTCCCCCAATATCAATCAGTCAGTGGCTGCAGGCCAGCCATGCGTGGGGATGAAACCTCCCAATTCTCTTTATTTACTTATTTATTTGAGACAGGGTCTTGCTCTGTCACCCAGGTTGGAGTGCAGTGGTGCAATCGTGGCTCACTGCAGCCTCAAACTCCTGGGCTCAAGTGATCCTCCCATCTCAGCCTCCTGAGTAGCTGAGACTATAGGTGCATACACAACCACACGTGGCTAGTGTTTGTATTTTTTTTTTTTGTAGAGCTGGGGTTTCACCATATTGCCCAGAATGCCTGGGTTCAAAGTGATCCACCCTCCCCGGCCTCTCAAAGCGCTGGAATTACAGGCCCAGTCCTCTTTAGATGACACAGCTCCCAATGGGCAAGAGAAAGTCTCCAGAGAAGGGCACAGCTGTGAAACGTTAGCAACCTGGCCCACAGCAGTAGGAGGATGGATACACTGGCTTGGCCAAAGTGACATGATCGTGCACCAAGGTTGACTACGACCAGTTATGGAATAACCATTCTGTATGCTACTGGAAAAGAAACTGTCATTTCAAAGCTGGGTCACATTTTGGATACGAGAAAAATAAATAAATAAAAGGAAGAGCTACAGAAACTTAGTATAGGTTGATGCTTAAAAGTTTCTTTTCTTAGCTGGGCATGATGTGATGTGCCTGTAGTCCTAGCTACTTGGGAGGGTGAGGTGGAGGGAATCACTTGAGCTTGGGAGGTGGGGGTTGCAGTGAGCAATGATTGTGCCACTGCACTCCAGCCTGGGCAATAGAATGAGACTCTGTCTCAAAAACAAACAAAAGATTTCTTTTCCTAGGAACTAACAAAACATTGTGTCTTTCTTTTGAAGATTATGTGATAGAAAAGCTGGAGCAATGTGGGTTCTTTGACGACAACATTAGAAAGGACACATTCTTTTTGACAGTCCATGATGCTATACTCTATCTACAGAACCAGGTGAAATCCCAAGAGGGTCAAGATTCCATTTTAGAAACGGTAAATATTCAACCTTTCTACAGATGTATCTTTTCTAAACTATCATGATTTCTATAAATGGCAAACATTACACAAATCTAGTCTAGCTGTTGAATTTTAAGCTATCTACATAACTTCTTGGAGCCTCAGTTTTTTCATCAGTAAAATGGAAGTAAAAACATTAACTTTGCTAGGTAGATATGAAGACTAAATAATATAGTTTATAGGAAATTACCTGGTAGTATCCAGTACTTAATAGTTCTACAATGTGTAGTTTTATTAATAAAAGTGGGCATTAGCTATAATGCCTTTTTAGAATATTGAATCTTTGATCTTCTGTGATCTGTGATTTGTGCACATAAATTCCACTTAAATTCTCAGCAATCTGGAAAACCTTGAATTATAAATGCCTTTAAACAGGATCCATCAGGCCATAAGCGATCTTTGCAAAAGCAATTAAAAAATCAAGCCACAAATAAGCCCAGGGTTTTTTCCCTACAAAATAGAATAGGCCCTGATGGGAGGCCTCGTGGCACAACAGTAGTGCGTCTGGCTCCAGAATATGCCCTGATTTCCTATGGGTATTATTTTGTTAGTTTTTCTGTCAAATACCCAGAAGAGGTGAGCATTCTGGTCTGGTTCGTTGGGCTTGGCCTAACGGTGCGCCTGGTGGTACAAGAATCTCATTTCTCATGGTGAACTTAGGAAACTAAAGCAAATACCTATCAAGATATAATAACGATAATGATTCCAGTGTCATAGTGGATATTTTAAATTGCTTCCCATTTTTCTAAAAATAGAATAAGTACATCCTTATTGTAGATTGGCAGTTGATTGAAGAAAACCAACTTAGGAAACGATATTGTATTATTCTTTTTAGGCACTGGCAGTGGAGAGATTGTTCTATTTAGTGTTCCTTGGTAAAATACTAGTCCTGACTACCAAGCTGTGGATCTTAAAAACAAAAAAGGAAAAAAAAAAAAGAGTAAAGCTACAAATCTAAAGAAAAAAAACTGTTTGACATTGAAAATTCATAAACCTTTTTCTATCCAACTTAAAATTCTCTAACCCATAGGTGATAAGAAAGCAGGATCATATGAAGTATCTTTAAGAGACCCAAATTAAAAGTAAAATGAAACCAAGGTATCAAGTTCTTTCTCAACATGAAAACAGTTATTTTATTTGTTTATACCCATTCTTACTAAGATGTTAGGTCATGAATGTCATAAAAACCACTAACCAAGAGTGTACCTACTAGGTTAGACTCAATTTTGTTTGCAATCCGGGAGGCATTGTGAGTGACTTGGGATGGATTTTTTTTGACTCTGAACAAATAGACTAAGCATAATGGAATGCTTGTATTATATACTTACTGGTCCACTAAACAGTGGGTTGGACATTCCTGGTGGCCTGTGAGATCAAGAGGCTCATATTTCTGTGTCTTCTCAGAGTCTAGCACAAAGCTTTACATGTGATAAGTAGGTGAATGACGATAAACCTCACCTGTGGTACTTTCCTTCAAGAAGAGTCCCTCTGTATCACAGATACTGTGACTGCAATGACACAGCCCTCTTCCTATCTCTTTATTTTACCATCACAGGACTATCTCAGGACACAACTTGTAGTTAGACTTAGCCTCCACCTTTCCCATTATGTCATACCATTTGCACAGGAACTTAACCCTCTAATTCATTCTCATACTAGCAAAGAGAATTGGGCTACTTGTGAGTTGAAAAGTAGCTAAGTAGCATTTCAAAATGTCATTTTAGCCTGGATATATATTTGGAGTTGCTTTGAAAATGTCCTTTTCCATGCAAAACACAAAGCCAAAATTGTAGGTTTCCTCTGTGTAGAAGATTAAATTACATGCACCTCTAAAAAGTAGAACTTTTCTGAATAACCAAATTAGTCCATAGACATTGGTTTCCATCTCCAGTAGAATTAATTTCCATCCAATTCCATTTGTGACTGTTCATTGTCATCAGTCACAAGCTCTTCAATGGGCATTCATTGCACACTCAATGCTGTGCTAAGTGCTCTTAGCTTAGCCATTGAGAGATGCACTGTTGACTGCTGAATCATTTAGGCAGAGGGGGTGACTTGTTAAGAGGCATACACTCGAGAGGTTAGGGAAGACAGCTGAAAAGGAGTTTAGACAATGGAGAACTATACCAGTTCACCTATGAATGTGCAAAAAAATGATATACAAAAATCTTTAGTTGGGAAATATAAAAGAACAAGACAGCTGAAGAGGATTCTGAAGTATGTAAAGATAGATGAGAAGCCCCAGGAAAGCTTCAAATCATTTTCAGTGGAGCATCAGGTGGGTTGATGCTATTCTATTTCCACCCTATGTTCTCTTTTTCAAGATCACCCTCATTCAAGACTGTAAAGATACCCTTGAATTAATTGAAACAGAGCTGACTGAAGAAGAACTTGATGTCCAGGATGAGGTATGATCATTTTCTTCTGAAGAAAATATTTGGATTACATTTTGAATAATTAGAGTAATACAAATAGTGAATATATCTGATTAAGAGCTGTCAGGGAACATAATTCCCCCAAATGTAAAAAAGATGGCTTGATAGCAGGGAAGAAGAGAAAATAAGAATTCTCCCTTGAAGATGTTAAGTTCTTGGGGAGCTTTTGTCCCAGGTATTTGGGGATGATCAGCAACCAGCAAGAGCCAACACACTGCTCCTGATTTGCTGCCTACAGCTCCGCATCCTGCTCTTCCAGAGATGGAAGGCCATGCGATAGGAAAATAATGAATAGAGGAAAATTCTACGCCAGGAATTTTATAAGCCTCAGGAATAGTATGTGAGGAACATAAACCCTATGACCTTCCTTCATATGACTGATAACAGCTTTAAAAACATACTCTCCCCACCTTAGACTGATTCTGTATATTTCAGATGCTCTTGTGACATCAGACTATTCCTAGGAAACTTGCCTGAACTTGTAGCATCTGAGTAAAATTTGCAGCTTCACCACTGGGTAAGAGGTGAACACTGAAGGAAGATCACAGAATTGTAAAAAGTTGAAAGATTTCTGAGAATCAAGTAGTCTAACATTCTAGCCCATGCAGAAATCCTTCTTACACCATCCTTGATGAATGTTCATTCAGCTTTTAGGTGAGCATTTCCAGACATTGGCCACTAGTGGCTTCCCAAGGGAGTTTGTTACATGGTTGGAAGTCTCTAAAGGTTACTTGTGCTTACAAAACTGAATTTGGCCTTTCTGTAGTAACCACCTAATGAATTGAGATCTACCTTCCTTAGCAATACAAACCTTCCCACTGAACAGCCCTTCAAATATTTGAGAATAGTTCTCATGTCTCCAGCAGACTGTCTTCCAGTTGAGACTCTTCTCGTTTCTTCTATTCCTTGCAAACATGCAGTCAATGCTTCTCTGGTCACGATGGGGACACAAAACCCTAAATGTGGTCAGGCCAGCATGGAGATTTTTCAACCATGACCTACCTTGATCTCATCAAGATAGTCTATTACTATAGCTTAAAAATGTGTTTCCTTTCATAATAGCAACATCAGAATTTTGGCTTCTATTGAGCCGGGTCCAACTAAAGACTGGGGCATTTTCATACAAACTATGGTCTAGTAGAGTTCCCTACTTATATTTATTTAATTGAGTTTTGACCCTAATACAGAACTACACCTATTTCTGCTAGATTGCATCTTGTTGGTTCTTGTTTACTGACATAATTTTGTATTATTATTATTATTATTATTTGCGACTGAGTATTACTCTGTCACCTGGGCTGGAGTGCAGTGGTACAATCTCAGCTCACTGCAACCTCTCCCTTCCGGGTTTGAGAGATTCTCACGTGTGCCTCATCTTCCCAAGTAGCTGGAATTACAGGCGCTCGCCACCATGCCCAGCTAATTTTTTTTTTTTTTAATTATTTTTAGTAGAGACAGGGTTTTGCCATGTTGTCCAGGCTGGTCTTGAACTCCTGACTTCAAGTAATCCACCCACCTTGGCCTCCCAGATTGCTGGGATTACAGGCATGAGCCACCACATTGGCCAGTTTCGTGTTTTAAATCTATCATCCAGGATATTGTCTACCCTACTATCCCCTACCTGGTGTCATAATCAAATCTGATAAGCCTGCCTTCTCTGCCTTTTTCTCGGTCTTGAAAAAATGTTGCAAAGAAAAACATCCAACCCCCTTTAGTGAAATCAGGCAGTAAGGATGACAGGCAGAGATTTTTGTGGAGGAAATACATTGCTACAGTGAAAATCACAGTACCTGCATGTTGGCCCACTAGCTTAGTGAGCCCAGGAAAGTCATTATTGACCTGAGAAGTCCTTTTAGCTCTTGTAGTTTATGACTCTATGGATATAGGGCAGCCTTAGTTTGAGTAAAAACTCATCAAAATTAGAACTTAAGACTGCTTTATTTAGGATATTTATTGGTTACCACATAAAAGAATAATTCAAGGAGGGTTTCTATTGATGGTGAAACAATATAGCACAATGGTTTCAAGGGCATGGACTTTAGAACCAGACAGACCTGGGTGCTAGTCCTCATTCTGCTACTTACTAGCTGTGCACCCCAGGACAAATTACTTATCCTGTCTTCATATTAGTATCTTCATGGAAAGTAATAATAATACCACAGAGTTGTGAAAATTAAAGGATACATGTAAAGTAACAAGAGCAGTGCCTTGTACATAGTAAGTGCTCAATAAACAGTAATCATTGCTCTTAATTAAATCCAATTAAAGTATGATGAATACAGGCCAGGCTCAGTGGCTCAATCCTGTAATCCCAACACTTTGGGAGGCCAAGGCAGATGGATCACTTGAGGTCAGGAGTTTGAGACCAGCCTGACCAACATGGTAACCCCACCACCATCTCTACTAAAAAAAAAAAAAAAAAAATTAGCTGGGCGTGGTGGTGGGCACCTGTAATCTCAGCTACTTGGGAGGCTGAGGCAGTAGAATTGCTTGAACCTGGGAGGTGGAGGTTGCAGTGAGCTGAGATCGCGCCACAGCACTCTAGCCTGGGCAACAGTGAGTGAGATTCAGTCTCAAAAAAAAACCACAAAAGTATAATGAATACAAAACTAAGTTTTTACCCTATTTCTACTGTGATGCTATACACCTAAGATGAGTAACAGTAAGCAACCAATACTATAAAAACATATTTATAAAAAAGATAATGCAGACTTAAGGAGAATTCAGTTGTATCAACACTTTGTTTTCCCCTTGCTTCCACAGGCTATGCGTACACTTGCATCCTGAAAGTGGGCTCAGGAGGTCTCTATGAGCAAGGAACACAAGACAAACTTCCTCACTAACGTCCTCCTATGCAAACATTTTCTGCATTGACTATTTCTTCAGACTCGAAACACTCATTCTTTTTTCTATTAAGCCATTGAAAGAGAAGCCCTAAGACTGTTTCTAGGATTTATTTATAAAATAAACACCTTACCCCTAACATGTGCAAAATGGTGAGAATTATTCAGATGATTTGGCAGCGTCCAGGATAAGCTGGTATTATAATACGCTGCTGATCCATGTCACAGATTTGCTAATAATGTTCACATGGGTACTGGCATATCTCTGTTCAGTCAGAGTGAGTGCTGACCCAACAGCCTCTGTGGTCAGGTGAGTCATGAATGATTAATCACAAAGAAAAATCAATTTTTGACTAACCTGGATATCCATGCGCTGCACTGATCACCATGTAAGGTCACATTTAGTAAATGCTGAAATAAAATTATTAATGCATTTATCAATAAAAGCCTTTGAAAATAACTTTGGATAATAAGTTGGAGTTTTAAAAATGCAAATTTGCTTAGTACCTAATAATGAAGTGTTATTACATGTAACCAGAATTGAGGATCTCTTTGATCCTGGAAATGGTTTAACTAAAAGCTACAGAACCAGGCCAATGTATTTTGAAACATTGATGCAGACAAATGAAATAATAAAGAGATTTTCATGGTTTATAAAAGTCATTTTTTGATATGATAATAATCATGGATCACAACTGAGATCAAAGAAAAATATATGACAGATTATTTTGTTCAAAAATTCAGTTTTAATTATCTTAGTCTATAGAAATGATCATTGCATGGAGGCATATATAGGTATGATCTACATAAAATCTGACAAAAAAAGTGTTATTTTGAGTGAAAAATTTTTTGATGTGCTTATATAATCATGATTATTAAAATGAGTTTATATTTTTTTCTCAAAAATTCTAGCAGTATGTAAAGTAAGTAATATTTAACTGAACTCTGACCACTTAAAAAAAAAACTCTAAAAATTGAGCTGCCTATAGTAGTCTATGTTTAAAGTGCATTTTTAAAGACAAAGCATTCTAAATGAACTCAGTATAAAAACATTCGTTTGGAATGTACATACTGGAAAATACAGGTTTTTTTGACCAAAAGTTTTTATATATTTTCTTTTTATTTATTTATTTTTTCCTGAGTGCCAACAATTTTCTAGGTATTATATATAACACAAGCTTTGGTCCTGGGGACTTTTCCATATATATCATACTGGAGTGAATGAACTTGTACTTCATTTCTAGAGAAAAGTAATACCCAGGTCCCCAATTGAGAATGTCTTGCTTGATTGAAAACTACATCATCCCTTGGTATAATCCAGGGATTGGTTCCAGGACCCCTGCATTTACCAAAATTTATACACACTCAAGTCCTGTAGTCACCCCTGCCCAAAGGTAGAATGGCTTCTCTGTTTTTCTTCTGAAATATAACCAGAAACAATGTGTCTATTTCTGAAAGAATATGATTAATGATCATACAAATTGGTTGATCCTGAATTCTGGTTGTAAATCTGGTTACAGCATAACTAGGATTATAATGCTGTCTCATTTTCACAGCACTACCTGCTTATATTGACAACAAATCATCTCTCTAAAGAGTGAGTGGAGGCCGGGCGCGGTGGCTCACGCCTGTAATCCCAGCACTTTGGGAGGCCGAGGCAGGTGGATCACGAGGTCAGGAGATCAAGAGCATCCTGGCTAACACGGTAAAACCCCGTCTCTACTAAAAATACAAAAAAAGAAATTAGCCGGGCGTGGTGGTGGGCGCCTGTAGTCCCAGTTACTCGGGAGGCTGAGGCAGGAGAATGGCGTGAACCCGGGAGGCGGAGCTTGCAGTGAGCCGAGATCGTGCCACTGCACTCCAGCCTGGGCAACAGAGTGAGACACTGTGTCAAAAAAAAATAAAATAAAATAAAAAATAAAAGAGTGAATGTAATAGTCTTACAGAAAATGAATGAATACCTTTGTGCAATAAAGGAAATACGCACTGCTCACTTTTTTGAAGGAAATACCAAAGTTAGGTTTTACAACAAGGCTAGAGGTTGTAAATTCTGGGTTCACTTGTGATGACGTAAGTCCAGTGTGGCTTGTTTCCCAAGCAAACTGTGGGAATATTGTCTCTTCTATGTATTTTGTGAATAGTAAGCATACTTTTAGTTTTGTATTATCAATGGAAATTTCACTTGAAATTAAAGTTGCCTTTTGTTATATTTTTAACCTATAGGGTAAGATTTCAGTATTGTATATGAGTTTTAATAAATTACAACATCAAATCATGCACACTTGAAAATATTTGCACACATTTAAAAATAAATGTAAAGTTGTCTTTTAAACTACTTGGACGTCTCCTTTCTGAACAAAACTATTAAATATAATAAAGAATGTGCCAGGAGCAGTGGCACATGCCCTTGTAGTCTCAGCTACTTGAAAGCCTGAGGCAGAAGGATCCCTTGAGCCAAGGAGTTAGAGTCTCAGCCTAGGCAACACAGCAAGACCCTGTCTCTAAATATAAATAAATAAATAAATAAATAAAATATAATAAAATACTTCATTCTAAGTTTGTCATTGCTCTTATCAGTCATCATTATGAGGTATTCTTTATAGCACCACTTCCATTTGTCTGTAATTTCTTTTCGTAGATTTATCAGTGCAATAAACAACATTACTCACAAATATCACAGTTAAACCTTGTAATTCTTATCCAAATATTTCCAGTTTATTTTGTGCAATGGTTATTATTATTTTAGCAAACTTTTCATTCTGGCACCACATATGTTAAAAAGGATACAAATCACAGTGTAGTGCTTGAAGAATTTTCACAAAACAAGCACACCAGAGTGGCCTGTGCCTAGATCAACAAGCAGAATGCCACCAGCACTGCATAAGCTCTCTCATGCTCCCTCTTAGTTGGTTGCCCCAGAGGGCAATTACTGTCCTGACTTCTAAAACCTGTTTTTTTGAATTGCATAGCAATGGAATCAAAGATTATTTCTTTTTTCCCCCTTTCTTTTGTGTCTGTCCTCTTTCACTCAACATTATAATCATGAGATTCATCCATCTTATTCAATATAGCAATCATTCATTCGTTCTCCCTGCTGTATTCATTCCATTGTAAATTTGCCACCACTTATTTATTCATCCTACTGTTTGTGGATATTTGTGTCGTTTCCGGTTTTGGGCTTTCATGAATAGTCTGCTATGAACATTCTTGTGAGGCATCCTTGCATATTCCAGAAATATTTGCGGGAAGGGTTCCTCTATCTGGGGCTTAGATCTATAAGGTGAGAATCAATGAAATTAGGGTTATTTTCTGTTTGCATCAGGTTAGGTATCTGAAGAAAGTTTGGTTTCAGTTAGAGTAGCATTTGTCATATAAACAATTTAACTTGGTAACAAAAGCCACACAAACTTTAGTTAAATCACACGAAGTTCAGTTCCATAAGAAAGCCACATAATGACAAATAGCTAGAAAAAGAATAGGAGAGAGAAAAAATAGAAACAAGGAGGGGAGAAGGAAAGGAAGGTCACAGGGGGACGTAAGGGAGAAAAAGGTAAGAGAACCACAGAGAAAAAGAATGACAATTAGGGAAGGAAGAGAAATAAGAAAGGGAAAATTAATGGAAGAAAGATAAAGAGGAAGGTAAAATAAAAGGTGGAGGGAAGAGAAAGACTAAGAAGAAAAAAGGAATGGTGGGGTAGAGAATTTCATAATGGGAAAATAAAATCCAAATAGAGGATTGATTTCAGTACAATCATATCCTTTAAGAACTCAGAGAAGTGAACAACACTCCCTCCCCGACATGCCATGCCATCTCCTGAATTCTTGGTCCCCCTTACCCATCTCTTTTCATTAATATCAGCTTCTAGTATGCTCTGTAATTCACTTACTACTGTTTCTCTTCCTGCCTCCTCCCTTATACTAGAACATAAGCTCCACCAAGGCAGGATTCTTTATTTTGTTCCTGGACATATCCTAAGTATTCAGAAGAGTAAAGAGTGTCAGACACACAGTAGAGGTGCAATAAATATTGTCGGATGAATGCATTAAGCTAAAGTCAGTGATGCTGAGTAAGGTTAACATAATTAGAGAATGGCAGTCATTAAGTACATAAGACATTCAGAGTTTCCTGAGCTTTTAGGCCTATTCCAAAGACTTACTGTGACAGCTCACCTGCTTGCCTGTCTGCCTTACCTATTGGTCTCCAGAAAAGGGGCTCGGAATTCGCTTGTATGTTAACAGAGCTTCAGGGAATTAAAGGCCCTCTTAACGTCTATACACATTTTGAATATGCCAACCAAGTCAGCCCACTTCATCCTTTTCTTCAGGAACATTTTTGGGCGTGAACATTGAGGTACTGTTTTTGCACAAGGTCTTCTAGTTTCAAGGTGATTCCCAAAGCATTGTTTTAGATCAAGTGCTCCAATGCGCTGAGTCCCCTTCCAGCTCCTTTAAAACTTTTTATTTTGAAATAATTATAGATTCACAGGAATTTGCAAAGAAATATATGGCAAGATTCCCATGCACCCCTCACCCAGGCTCCCACAACGTTAACATCTTGCACAGCTACAGTACAATTTAAAAAAACAACAGGAAATTGACATTGGTATAAACCATAGACCTTATTCACATTTCACCAGTTATACATGGACTCGTGTGTGTGTGTGTGTGTGTGTGTGTGTGTGTGTGTGTGTGTGTCGGGGCACTCTGTGCAATTTTGTCCCATGTATAGCTTTGTGTAAACACCACCACAATCAAGAAGCTTAACTATGCCATCAGCACAAGAATTCTTCTGGGGACCCTTTTAAAAATGCACTCCAAGTGCAGATATACCTCTCCTTCTGACACCATTCCCAGACTTATGGCTGAACAAAGACATTCTGAAATGGAGGAATAGCTCTGATATTAGACTTCCTATAGTCAGGGTAAGTTGAACACTGAATATTCTGCTGTAGAATTCATTTGCAA